GTATTCTCTTTAAGGTCCTTGAAGGTCTCACCAAGCTTCTTGGAGGTCTCATCAAGTTTCTCAAAGGTTTTTAGAAGATTCTTGAGTAATCTTATAAATGTGATTCTGAACTCTGTGTCATCCAGTAGTTTACTTTCCTCCAACTCTCCCATTTGTGACATGTTTCTGTGTCTCCTCATTTTGGCTGATGGAGTGGCTTTGTATGGTAGGTGACCTATAGGGTCCAGTAGTTCAGCTTCCCCAATCACCTGAAGTGGTCGCTTTTGGTATATCCCTTTGTGGGCTGAGTGCAAAGTCTTGGTGTAATTAAGCCTTGTTTGCTGTTGGTACACTGGGAGGAATTGATCTCCAGGCCAATTGTCTGTGAGCACCCGCTCTGTCTATAAAGGAAGAACTGGTGCACTGGAGACACAGTTTGTTTCAGTGGGGCTTTGGTGCTCACTGAGTCCATCTCCCAAATGTGTCACTTATGGGTGTGAGGGGTTGAAACTGACCACTAGGAACACTGGCTTCTGGATCACCAATGGGGTACAGTTCATTTGCTTGGGACTTGGCAGTTTTGTTGCTGGAGCTTTGTTGCTGGAGCTGCAGTTTATTTTGTTAAGTTGCCACAATACCAGCCATTTATATGCAAAAGCAGCTGTGTGGTGCCTGGGAAGGGTCTGTAGAATGTGCTGTAGGGGCCTCAGGGCAGGGCCTCAGGGTGGGGTGGGTTCTCTGCTGTCAGTTGTCCCAGCCTCCCTGCTTTTTCAAGTCCCCACTTCCCTGCAATCCAGCACAGTAAACAATGATTGCTGGGCACACCTCTGCAAGAGTCACCCTCACTTTGGACCGAAGGCCGACAGACCAGCTTCTCTCTGTAGGCATCCCCCACGCGATCCCAGAAACTTGATTTCAAAGTGATTGTGAGCTTGTTTCCTTTCCGGTTGAAAAGAAAAGCCACATTCCCAGTCACTGCCACCAGCCCGATTCGCCACCAGCCGGATTCGTGACCAGCTCAATTCGCATGCCTCCGTACCTAGGCTCCTCAGCTTTTCAGCGCTTGTGCTCCTTTCTCTTTCAGCCAACTTTCCCATGGTTTTGGATGACAGATGTCCTTTATATTAGTTTTAATTTTTAAATTGTTGTGGGAGTGGCAGACCAGTTGTTCACCTATGCCGCCATCTTGGTTTCTCTTCTCTGATCTTCCTATCTTCATATTTTTTAATTCTTTTTTCTTTTTGCTCTTCTGAGTGGATGTTTTGTACTTCCTCATATTTAAAATTATTGATTTTATTCTTGGGATCCTCTATTCTATTATTGAATCCCTGTATATTATTTTTTATTTCAGTCAGTGTATGCTTAGTTACTGACTGATCCTTTTCCTTTTTTTTTTCCTTCATTCTTATTAAGATCCTTGAAAGTCTCACTAAGTCCCTTGGAGGTTGCATAAAAATTCTTAAGTAATTTATAACCATGGTTTTGAACTCTATATCTAATAGTTTGCTTTCTTCAATTTCTTTTATTTGTAACATTTTTCTTTGTCTCTGCATTTTGGCTGCATTCCTGTGTTTGTTTCTATGTATTGGGTAGAGCTGCTATGTCTCCTTGAGTTGGTAAAGTGGTCCTGTATAGTAGGTGTTCTATAGGGCCCAGTGGCTTAGCCTCCCCAGTCACCTGAGCTGTGCACTCTAAGTGTGCCCCTTTGTGGGCTGTGTGCACAGTCTTGTTGTAGCTGAGCCTTGATTGCTATTAGTGTCACTGGGGGGAATTGACCTCTAGGTGAATTGGCTGTGAGGAACAGCTGTGACTACAGTGGGAGAGCTTCTGTGCAGAAGACACCTCTATGGAGAACTTTTTCAGTGGGGCTTTGGTGCTCAGTAAGTCTTTCCCTTGAGTGTGTCGCTTATGGATGTATAGAGTTATAATCTGGTATAGTCTGTCACTGACCACTGGATGCACTGGATCTTGGATCTCCAAGGGGGTTAAAGTCAGCCACTGCCTGGAGCCACCCAGCAGGAGCTACAGAGAGATCTGCAGATTCCTCCCATTTGTATTGAGTTTGGAAGAGCCCAGGAGAAGCCTAGCTGTGAAGCAATGCAGGCTGATGCTAATGCTGAGTCTTAGGCCTTTTATTGATAGGTTGGGGCTCCCTAACTAAGGTACAGCTTGTTTAAGAATTTTAGCAAAGTCTGAAGCACAAACAAGGACAGGCCATTCATATGCAAAAGCCACTGCACACAGCTTGGGTGGGTCTGCAAATGAGATGGGATGAGGTCCCAGGGAATCCCCACAGCTGTGCAAACAGTATGTTCCAAACTGATAGAGACTCAGATATGGCTGCCAATCATCCCTGCAACCTGAGAAGTCCCAGCACAGGGACAATGACCCCTTTTAGCAACTCCATTTGGGAGAATGCTGCCCCTGAATTCTTGCCATGATTCCAGATAATCCAGTTTTTCTCCATATATGTCTAGGTTCCTCAGAGTGTTACTCTGGTGCTGGAGCTCAGAGGAGGTTGAACCTTGTAAGTTCAGTTCATGCACAACCCCCTTAAAAATGAACAGCTGGTCCTCCAGCAACCTCCTTGTCACTGAACATTAATCTCCATTAGTTTTTACATCCTGTAGTTACTAGGACTTCTCTTCCTAGCTCTGGGAGCCTGAGCCTGGAGTCTGGTGTGGGGCTGGGATCTCTTGCTGCTCATGAGGGGCCATAGATAATCTCCCCCCAATTAAAAAGGCAGCCCACATGAGTGTCAGACCAACCCATCTGCACCTCCACGCCTCCTACCACTCTCAATGTACTTTCTTCTTTACTTCTCTAGTTGTAGTACTTCTGTTTAGCCAGCTTTCAAGTGGTTCTGGATAATGATTGTTTTGTAATTTAGTTGTAATTTTGATGTAGTTGTGGGAGGCGGTGAGTACCAGCGTTTACATATGCCACCATCTTGGTTCTCCTCCACAGGTCTTTATTTCAATGCCACCTCCAAGTAAGGCTTGGCTTACTATCAAATCCAAGTTGCCCAACACTTCCAATCTCTCCCCTGTGTTATTTTTTTTCTCCATGGTATTTAAATAACACTCATATATACACTATATTTTGTTTATCTATTTTTTCTTGGCTGTCTCCCCTCCACTGAAGTCTAAGTTCCATGGAGCAGGTATTTTTGTAAGTTTTGTTCACTCTTAGGCCCCTAACCAAAACAGTGCCTAACATCTAGTTGGTGCTTGATAAATGCTTACTAAATGAGTGGACAGATGAATAGAAAAATAAGTTGAGGACATGACATGAATTGGGAAAATTCACAAATAAAGAAAGTGAAATGGCCAGCAAGTACACACAAATATGCTCAAGCTCTTTAGTAGAAAAAAAAAAAAGGAAAATAAGATCAGTTTACCTATCAGATTGGCAGGGATTTAAGTAATTGATGATGCCGATGGTTGTTTAGAGTGAGGGGAAGAGGCTTCTTGTGCATGATAAATTGGCACAGCCTTCTGGAGGTTGATATAGCAATACCGATTAAATCTTGAAATGTGTATGCCCTCTGACCCAGATAGTCCACTACCAGAACCATTCCTGGAGGACCCAGAACACAAGGGCACACGTATCTATGAACTGGGAAATTCCCTGAGTTTTCTGTATAGCTGAACACTGGAAACCATCTAAACAGTTACCAACAGGATTAATAATGGATACATAATTTAAAGACCATCCAATCAATGGGCATAAAATGATAGTTAAGAACTCTGGAATGAGCTACACAATATTTGAAAGTTAAAAAAAATCAAGTGACAGAGCAAGTATAAATAGCATGAGCCCATGTTTTTCCTTTTAAAATATGTTTATAAGTGCATAGAATGAAGTCTAGAAGGATATCTATCAAACTAGTTAGCAGTATTTAGCCCTAGGAAGGAAGAGATCATGGAAAGAGCTTGAACAGCATGCTTGAAATATTCCTGTATTATTAGATACATAGATAGATAACATAAAGAAAATATTATCTTAACAGCCAGAAATATAACTTGGCTTACGGAGGAAACAATTTCCATGTCTTTCCAATGCTGAGGATGCAGAAATAGGGCACTCCAAGCTCTCCATTATCTGACCCCATATTTCCCTGTTACTTCTAGCTCTACCTCCACACCCCTAACCACTCTGGGAGAGCAGTAAGCTCGGCCACCCCTGGCTCTAGGACACCTGTCATAGGCACTGGTGATCAATCATCTGAGGGGGTCAAGGTGGGCCCAGCAGGAAGGACTGACCAGAGAAGGAGGGAGACTGGACATCAGCCCTCACTAGGGTTGCCATATTTAGCAAATAAAATTATATTTCCCATGCAGTATTTGGGATATACTTGTACTAAAAAAGTGATTTGCTATCTGCCTGAATTTCCAATTTCACTGGACATTCTGTGTTTTTTCTGGCAAACCTAACCAACAACCCATCCTAGCCCTTGGGGCACTTGGCCCTGAGCAGAAAGCATCATCTGAAGTGTTCAGGCACAACGGAGAAACACCAAGTGGAAAGGTGATCTGGGCCATGCCTGGCATTGCAAAAAGTACCCCTGCCCTAGGGGAGTCCTGCAGAGAGCAGGACCTTCCAGGGTCTGAGCCATCACTCATGGAAACATCCACACAAGGTGAGTACAGTGACTCTGGCAGAAAAAGCCAGAGTGACCACAGGGGAGCCCCACAGAGCAACACCTCTCAGCCAAAGTACTTAGAAGGTGTGGATGCAAGTCCTGAACAAACTGCAGATGGTGAACATGCGAGATCAAACAGGTGCCGGGGAAATTATGTGTCCCAGGGCCGGCTTCTCAGGGCCCAGGCGGTGCCTGGTGAGGGTGGACAGCTGCTGAGGTGGCCTACTTTCTCAGGGTCCAGGAGCTCCTCTCCAGGAGACTCAGCTGTGCCCTACACACTACTGCCCTGGCAAGGGCTCATCCATCCTCACTCCCAGGGCCCTCCCACTGGGCACAGAAGCATGAGGCAGGTGAGCCCACCTCGCTCTCCCCCTACCTGAGTCAGACGGTGCCAGGAGGCAAACAGACCAGCCTCTGGAGGCCCAGGGAGTGGCAGCCTGTCCATCGTTGTCCCAGCATGCACTGTGGGGAAGGAGCAGGAAGATTAGTGTGGGCAAAATGGGGCTTCATTACTCCAGCTGGGCTCACCTCAGCATGGGTTCTCCAGGACCAACCCCAGCCTCCCAGCCCAGCGGGCTTCCCACTGCCCCCACCTTTGGGATGGGCCTCGTGGCACCATCCTCCCTGCTCTTCCCCAACCCCCTAAGTGACCTCCCTGGCCTGGCATTCAAGGCCCTGACCAAGCCCCACTTCTCACCACCTGGCACTGTCCTCCATAGGTCAAGCCATTTTGCAAGTTGTGCTCACAATATGTATACACATGCATACACACTGGCATGAACACATATATACATGTGCACACACACCTAAACATAGAGACAAAAACACATAGGTTCACATACATGTACATACACACCAACACACATATGTGTGTACATACACACGTACACACCTACTTATATGCAGATATACACACAAATGAGCAGCTCCACCCACTCTCTCTGAGATTCCCACTGATTCCTACTAAGTCTCTGAGATTCCCACTGATTCCTACTAAGTCTGTCCCCTGTAAGCTTCACTTACATGTCCTCAATCCAGCACTCCTCAACCCAGGATATTGGATTACGCCTCACCACCACCAGCAATACCCTCAGCAAGGTCCTGAAGCACCCCATCTGCCTGTGCCAGTCCTCCTACCCAGCCTGCTGGGGCTCCCTGACCCACCCTCTCCTTGGGGCATCGCACCCCTCTATCACTCCTACACATGGTCACAAGCTGTTGTTTTCTGTCCTCCCCTTCCCCCTACCCTCTAGGGCATCTCACCCCCATCAGTGTTTCAGTGTTTCCTTTATACATGGCCAGAGAAGAGCCAAAGCCCCTGCCCTGTCCCCCACCCTCTCCTCTTTCCTACCCTGCTCTAGCCGCATGGGCCATCTTGCTGCCTCTGCCTGACATATCTTCCTCTGGATCCTTACAGGCCTGGCGCCCTCTCCTCACCCAGGCTTAGCTCAGAGCGCCTCCTCAGAAAGCCTTCTCTGACTACTAGACTGTGTGCAGGGTCTCCTCACCTGAGCCCACACCCTGACTGACTGATTCATCATTTGGTTTTCCCTATTTCAACATTCCAACAGTGAGTTTTTCCCTGTCAGGTTAATTGAGGTATAATTTACCTACAGTAAAGTTTACTCTTTTTAGTGCAGTTCTATGAGTTTTGACAATTGCGTACAGACATGTAACCACTGTCATGATCAAGATATAAAACAATTCTATCACCCTAAAAATCTCCATGAGTTGTCCCTTTGTGGTCAACACTCCCTACTCCCAACCCCTAACAACACTAATCTGTTTTCTCCCATATGGTTTTGCCTTTTCCAGAATCCTATATAATAAAGAGGTAACATGCAAATTGACCATCACTCCAACACACAAGATGGCCACCCTCATATGGACACAAGATGACCAGCAGAGGAGGGCACTTGGGGGCAACCAAGCATGCAGAGGACAGTTAGGGGTAACCAGGCTGGCAAGAGAGGAAAGTTAGGGGCAACCAGGCCAGTAGGAGAGGGTAGTTAGGGGCTATCAGGCTGGCAGGGGAGCAGTTAGGCATCAATCAGACTGGCAGGGGAGTGGTTAGGGGATGGTCAGACTGGTAGGCAGAAATGGTTAGGGGCAATCAGGCAGGCAGGCGAGCAGTTGGGAGCCAGTAGTCCTGGATTGTAAGAGGGATGTCTAAAATTGGAGAGGGTGCAGGCTGGGCTGAGGGACACCCCTACCCTCATGCATAAATTTCATGAACTGGGCCTCTAGAGTGATATAAATGGAATCATCTATATATAGCTGTTTTGTTTACTTAGCATTTTATGCATTTATTTACTTAGCATATTATGCATTTAAGATTTATTTGTGTTGTTTATTGTATAAAAATGTCATTCTTTTTTTTTTTTTTTAATTGCTGAGTGGTATTCACTTGTTTATCCACTCACCTCACCAGCTGAAGGACATTTGGGTTGTTTGTAGTTTGGGATGGGTATGAATAAAGCCACCATAAATATTGAGTACAGTTTTTTGTGTGAACATAAGTTATTTCTCTTGGGTACCTAAGTAGGATTGCTGAGTTACATACACAGTAAGCACATTTTCAACTATAAGAAATTGCCAAACTGTTTTCTAAAGTAGCTCTACCATTTTGTGTTCCCACCAGCAATATATGAGAGGTCCATTTGCTCTGTATCCTCACCAGCACTTGGAATTGTCAATTCTGTAAAAGTCAATCTAATAGCTATGCAGTGGTATCCATTGTGGTACTAATTTGCATTTCTCTACTGAATGATTGTTCATGTGCCTGGCTTATTATTTTAATGCCATCACTATTTGAAATTATCTTTACTGCCGAAACCGGTTTGGCTCAGTGGTAGAGCGTCGGTCTGCGGACTGAAGGGTCCCAGGTTTGATTCCGGTCAAGGGCATGTACATTGGTTGCAGGCACATCCCCAGTCGCGGATGTGCAAGAGGCAGCTGATCGATGTTTCTCTCTCTTCAATGTTTCTAGCTCTCTATCCCTGTCCCTTCCTCTCTGTGAAAAATCAATAAAATATTTTTTTAAAAGAAATTATCTTTACTGAATTATTTATGTTTATTTTCCATTTCTCTCATCATATGTGAGAGTAGGAACCTTGACACCTAGAACAATATCTGGACTGGTGATGATGATGATGACGACGACAACAGCAGTGCTACCAGTAACAGCTAACATTCATAGAGCCTTTACTATGTGCCCAGCATTATTCTGAGTGCTTTACAAATATTAACTCAATCTTCACGACTACCATAAGAGACAGATGCTATCAATATTCCCATTTTAAAGAGGAGAAAAGCAAGGCAGGAAAAAAAATAACTTACGTACTCAAGGTCACATATCTAATAAGGGGCCAAGCTAAACTTCAATCCCAGGTGTTCCTGAGTAAGACTCTGCAGTTGTAAATCAGTACATTACATGGTCTATAGCAGCCACACTTGCTGAGGAATAAAAGCATGGAAGAAAGCCAACAATTTACAGTTCATTCTCTCCTGGAGAGGGTGCTTTCCTGTGTTGAAACTGTCATATTCAGCATGTCGCAGACTGAATGTTTGTATCTCCTCCCAAACACACCCCAAAATTCATATGTTGAAACATAATCACGAGTGTAGTAGTATTTGGAGGTGGGGCTTTTGGGAGGTGATTAGGATATGAGGCTGGAGCCCTCATGAATGGGATTAGTGACCTTATAAAAGAGACCCCAGAGAGAATGCTTAGCCCTTGTGCCATGAGAGAATAACATGAAAAGATGGTCATCTACAAACGGGAAGTGGACCCTCGCTAGACACTAAATCTTCCAGAACCTTAATCTTGGACTTCCAGCCTCCAGAATTGTAAGAAATAAACTTCTGTTGTTTATAATCCCAGTCTATGGGATTTTGTTATGGCACCTGAATGGAATAAGGCATGGTGACTTCTGGATGTCTCTTCTGGATTTCCTCCCTCAAAGATGAATCATCCTCACCCTTAATCCTGATTCTACTACTGAGAAATTCAATTTATAGGGTGGTGTTGGAATTTAAAGAGATAAATGCGATAGGAGGGGAGAGGTTAAGTCAAAAGTTGAGCCTGGTGGGTGGAGGACTTGGGTCTTCCATGGGCCTTGATTGTCCACAGGGACTCTTCCTCAGAGCTTTTCCCACCAGGCCCTCCCAGGCAGTCTGGGCCTCTCTGGCCTTGGGCACCCCAAGTGGAGACAATGAACAAGAAGTCATGGCCTTTGCTCTTCTGAAACCCTTGCTCTGCATTTCATCACCTGTATGGAGGAGAATTTTTTCCTGTTTTTATTTATTTTATTTATTTATTTTTTAATTATGCATCCCAGTGGCATTTATTTTTTATTTTTTATTTTTATTGATTTTGTACAGAGAGGAAGGGAGAGAGAGAGTTAGAAACATCGATGAGAGAGAGTCATCGATCAGCTGCCTCTTGCACACCCCCTAACTGGGGATATGCCCGCAACCAAGGTACATGCCCTTGACTGGACTCGAACCCGGGACTGTTCAGACCCCAAGCCGACGCTCTATCCATTGAGCCAAACCAGTCCCGGCTGGAGGAAAATTTTATTGCTCATTAAATGTCTGGTCACATTTCCTCCACAACCTCCCTACCCAGCACAATGTCCCCCACATTTCTTCAGCCACCTTACGGTTAATTGAGGCCAAATGACCAATGGGCTGTGAACAAAAATGATGTGTGTTACTATTTGGCCAAAGCATTTAAGAGCCAGCTGTGTGCCTACCATTTTTCTTTTCTTTGCAACAGTAACTAAAGTAGGCCACAAGTTCCAGATTAGGCAGATACAGGATGACGAAGCTTCTGTCAATCTCTGTATGACTGTATGGACCAGAGTCTGCCACACTCCCCATTTCCCACATTGGATATGTAATATGAGTTCATATGTTAAAGGAAGAAAGAAGAAGGTAACTTTATTGCTTTGAATCACTGAGAGTTCAGAGAGAACTCAGCGCAGAACAACCTTTCTACCTTACTACACACCTACTTGCCATATGACCTTGCTGTATCTGGCCTGAGACCATGCTCAATGACTTTCTAGGGTATGAGAACTAAGCTCCATTTGGGAGCTCCTAAATAACTAGAATTTCAAGAGTGGATGAGATAATCTCAATCCACAAATTGAAGAATTCACTGTTCACATGAAGAGGGGAAGGTTCCAGGCCCTGCATCAGGGCCCACTAGCAACACAATCCCCACATGGATAAGGGAGGTGCTAGCCAACGCAGGTGGGGGCATCTCCGTGACAGTTGGGGCCTTGGCCTTCACTTAAGAGCTTAACTTTGACTTTAGAACAAAGGCTGGGACATCTTCAGAGTGTTATCTCTAAATTAGGTCTGGGACCAGTTCTCAGGAAGGTTCTGGGACCTCCTCAACTCATCTGACCTGGATGGACACCTGGAGGGGTTGGAGAG